CACACACACACACACACACACACACACACACACACACACTACACCAGGAAGAGTCACTGGAAATCCCCTTTTGTTCACCTGAATGAATTAAACCTGGGCCAATTAGAAACCTGCAAGTCTCACTTCAGATGTAATCAACGAATCCTTTCCTTTTTGCCTCTCAGTAAATTAAATCCTTTTCTAATTGATCAGTTAATGGTGTAAGAACGAATGTATCTGAAATATAGAAGAGTAGCACTGACTTAGTTTAACTAATTGAAATGCCTCAATCCTTTCTAAGTTGCATCAAAGTGATTTTTGGAGGAACTTTAACAGGTGGTGGGGGAAAAAAAAACTCTTGAAGTGTAATACATAATCTTCACCAGTAGATGTCCCCACTGACTTAAAAATCTGATTTCCTATGGTGAATCGAATAGTACAGGAGGAATGACAGACATTTTTTTAAATTTTATTCTCCAAGTTCACACAAACTATTGTGAACAAAAAAAAAAAAAAACATAAATTGGATATTTTTAAATCCTATTTTACTTTTCTCCTTCCTTCCATGAACTTGGATGACTCTAACGTGACACTAGTGGTTAGACTGGAACAGCCTCTTCCAGCTGAAGTGTGATGTAATTGCCTGTTAGAAGCCTCTTATTAGAGAGGGATGAGCAGGGAGAGAGGGAGTGGGGGAGTCAGGACCTGCAAGAATCCATGATGATAAGTGGCAATTAGCCTCTCGCTCTCCCTTATGTAGCGTCGCTGCTACTATAGGTGGAAAAGGACAGGTCCACAACACTTTTCAGAAAACAAAAGTGTCCCCCCTAAATATGCTGCTGTAATCATTTCACAGTAAAACAGCCTTGTGTTAAATATGGAGGCAGAAAAGAGGCTTTTTTTGTTTGTAGTTTCAGACACTAACCCCTCTATTCTCTTTGTATTGGTTTGACCTACAGCTTGTTTCGTTGAACCCATCCACCCACCACCCACCACATACACACACTCCTCTGCCCCCATCTTTCTGCACCATGTGTGAGTAGAGGCTGCTTTGTAAAGGTTACCTTAAAGCAAAAGTTGTGTCAGACATGTTTCTTTTTATCGTTCAGTCGACTATAAAAAAAGGCTTCTTTTTCAGGGCAGCCACTCATTCCAATGCATGTCCCGAATGCAGAGAACAGGTTGAACTCCAGCTAAAATCCTTCCAAGTAGCTAAATGTTTAACTTCTTGTCCAACAGTTTGGTTTATCTCAAATGCAAAATGCTACAGTGTTTCTGTGATCCATCACCATCGATTAAATCTCAAATGTGAGTATATGTGTCAAGCTACATCTTTGCACACTTTTTGTTTATATAAATATGATTTAAAGCTCAACATAAGCAATTCACAAGACCAGCTTTATTTATAAAGCACTTTAAACAACCACAGGACCAGAGTGATGACCAGTTACAATAAATGATGCATTACAGTCAGCACAAGACATAAGTAAGACCTAAGCAACCAAGTAAAAGAAGCCTTATAATAAAAAGACATACAATCGATAAAATAAACTAAAAAGTCAACCAATCAGGAGGGTGTGGGTGCGGCAGCTCAGTGAAGTAGAGCATGGGCAAGACCATGGAAAGCTTTAAAGTGCCCGTGACATCAAATTTTTGTAATGCATTTTTAGAAAGAGGACATTGATAAAATATTGCAAAAGAAATTTCATGTCGCTGAGATGAACAGTTGTTGAGATATTTGCCTGTGAAGTAACAGGAAGTGATGTCAGTGGTGAATTTCTGAATGTGAACAGAGCAGTGCTACAACAGCCAACAACCCATACTGTAGAGAAGAATCTGATGTTTCTTAAAGGGATCCATGATTAGTTGTAACATTAGACTTTATTTGATTTGATTTCACCTGTAAAATAAAGACTAAAAATAAGCTGTTTAGTTTTGTAAATTTTTAAAAATACATTTTAACATGGACGAAGCCATTTTATTTACATGCAAAGCATTCTGGGTAAATAATGACGTGGATAGGTCAATGATGAAGGTTAATCTTGGACGGTATCTGATTATCGAGTCTTTTAAATGAAACCAGAGAGCGTTGACAGAGAGGAGAAGGTATAAACGATTAAGTCTACAACTGAAAATATGGATGGAGGACAACAGAGCTGCTTCATGGAAGAAGAACCTCAGCTTAGCCTGTTAGCCGTCGTGCTAATGCTGACGCTATATTGGCTTATATGTATCAGCTCGGCGCTAGTGCGACAAACAAGTTAAACGGAGGTCCTCCATCCATATTTTCAGTTCCAGGCTGAGTCATTTCTACCTTCTCCTCTCTGTCAACGCTCTCTGGTTTCATTTAAAAGAGCCAATCGTCAGATATTGTCCAAGATTAACCTTCAGGGTGGATATAGCTCGCTAGCAACCTTGCACCGATGACCTATCTATGTCATCATTTACCCAGAAAAAGCATGTAAATAAAATGGCCTCATCCGTGTAATATATTTTTAAACTTTCAGTTTAAAATTTTTAAAAACTAAACAGCCTACAGTATTTTTACAATCTTTATGTTATTTAAAATAAATGTTTATCAAATAAAGTCTAATGTTATAACTAATCATGGATCCCTTTAAGATTATTTTGAGTCACTATCAGAAAGAGATGAAGCAGAGTCAGAGTTCAAATAATATTGTTTTCTTTGTTAAAGTGTTCCCCTTTGATGTCACTTCCTGTTTCACTTTGGCTGAGCCAAGTTCAAAAGAAAAAATGCCAGTTATGTGACAAAATGGGTTAAATCGTGTGTATTATTCCAACTTTCTTAAAGATGTTTTCTGACTTTTTGTGAAGAATATGCCTGTCAGACACTTGAAAAACAAAAACAAAGAATTTTAAAATGAATCCTAAAATGTTTGTTCAGTCAGGCTAAAATAAGAAAATGTGTTCATGTTCTTTAGACCCATTAAATGTGAGCAACAGAGGACACACTGACCTCTATATAAAGTGTTTTCATGAGTATGATTGAAAATGACAGAGCCATAAGGTACTTTCAGCTACTATTACTACAAATAATTAATCACCTATCAAGCCTAAATGTTAGTGAGGCATTAATAAAGGGCAATGACGCTCTCATCTCTTAATTAGCCACGGAAGTAGATTTAAATATTAATGTTTTCAGAAATCCCTGCTGCTCTGTTCCACAAGTCAATATTCAAACCGTGTATTCACAAATGAAGGACAACAAAGCAAATAAATTTGAATATTGCATTGATTAACATCCTGTTCAAAAGTGGTGGAAATCTTATAACTTCATAAATTAGTTTGTTTACTTTTTAAGTGAATTGCAATTTGGTCCTTCAAAAAAGTCTCTATCTGATAAATCTGTGCAGTTGATGCAAAAATCATCGTGATTATATCTTTTTCTTTTTTTTTGTTTTTGCTTTGAAGACCAGACAGTCATTCAATATGAAATTTATTTCACAGACAGCAGACATGTAGGAGGAAGTTTCAAGGCTGCGGCGGTGTAACGTAAATGTGCTTTCAGGCAGAAAAAAATGTGTAGCGTTCTAAAGTCAATGAGGGTTATGTGAAATGGCAATAATTGTCAATCGAGTCAGACAAAGATTTTAACGAGTATTTGTGGGATTAAAAAAAAACTTAACAGAAATGAGAATGTATAGAGAATCAAAGGCTTAGAAGTTCTTGGAGAAATGCTGCTTTTCATGCCAGACCTTTAGTCTTAGATCATCTTATGCTGAGAAATGATAAAGTTGTTTTAGTCAAACTTTTAAAAAAAGAAACATTTGCATTCTTATGAGACATTGCAAGATGTCACACACAGCATGTGCTGAGGATGACACTTTCAATAAAAACCAGCTGTTCTCAATTTTACATCAAATTTCAGCTTAATAAATCAAAAACGGACTGAATTAGAGACATTTTCGTGTTGCCAATGCCTTTTTTCTAAACAAAAGATAATAATTTGTAGATGTGCATCCAGTACTTTCTGTAAATTTCATTAAAATCAGTCCAGTGGTTCATGACATAATTTGCTAACAGTTAGTCCCTTTCTTTCAGTAAACGTGTCATATCTCAAACATTATCTAACTGATCAGAAATTTACACTTAATCAGCACTTTATTTTACAGCTGAAACACCATCGTATTGATAAAATCTTTGACTTGCAGTAAACACGGCTGTGTCAAGACCCACAAAAGTGAAAAGAACATCAATGTCCTGTCATTAAATGTTACTGAATAAAAGAAGAGGGTTTGTGACAAAGAATTTAAAAGCATATGATCAGTCGTCTCATTTTTTCCTGTGTCACATTTTAAAATCTACACATAATAATAAAGTTGATAAATAAACAGAAATGTTAAAAAAAAAAGCAGAGATGGTATAGTCCAGATGATTATGTAAAACGCTCCTTCTGATCCTGCTGACCCCCTATAGTCACCATTTGGTACAGGCCACAATGCCATAACCCACTCATCCTCTCAACACGCACACACACACACACGCACACACACATCTAAGCTGCACAGCTTCTTACAACCCTACTTAGCCAGTCTGACAGAGCAAACGAGAGCCTGTGTCTCTGAGTGAGTGTGTGTCTGTGTGTGTTTGTGAGACGTGTAGAGCCAGCCGAGATGAAAGTGTGAAACAGCGAGAGGGAAAACCTGAGGGAAAACAAATCCCCCCAGCAAATCAGAGAGGGGGAGAGGGAGTCAGCGAACGCAGCAAAAAAAGTCAGAGCAGAGGAGAAGAGAAGAGGGCAGACAGACAAAAAGGTATAAGACAAGAATGGCGATGACTAGATGACCATACACACGCACACACACACACACTTTGCATCCTTTCCTGGAGACTTGACAGGAGGGGCCGAAAAAAAAATATCTACACACAGTCAAAGGTAAACACTCTTCAGCCGGTCCCACACCACTGGATCATGTCATCTACCGGGTCGACAAACCACAACAAGCGCCTCACATGTAAGTAGCCCGCGATGTTAAGTTATCATTTGTGTGTAGCTGCAAAGTGTCACTAACTTTACCTGAAGTACAGTAGATTATTCCCTAAAAATGACTCTGTTCTGTTTAAATACTTTACAATTTGTAATCTGATTTATATTAAAAAATGTAGTCATTTTCAGAGAAAATTTCAGAACATTCTGGTAAAAAAATGAACTTACCCCCCATTAATGGAACAGCTTCAGCATCCGAGTTGGATTATTTATCATCTGTAAGCAATTTAATGGGATTTATTTTTCATTAAAGTTTACTGCCCTTTATGTTTTTAATATATCACTATTATGTAATTTTCTCAACTCTATGTTGCTGAAAACTGAAGCCAGAAGATTAATTTGATTATCCCTCATTTACTTACTAACTAATCTATTTACTAACATTTACTTACATTCTGTTTAGACTGTAGCCCTCAGTTAGAACACATGTAAAAGGCTCACTGTCCACATGAACATCAATACATGGGTCATCTTTCTTGAGCTAACTCATACTGACAGACTTCACTGTGCAGCAAGACAGTTGATGTAAACGGGATTTAATCAACATGAAGCACTGAGAGCTGCCTCTTTCAGCCTGACAGTATATTAATATATTTCTAAAGACATTACACAACCTTTGACCTGCTTCCTGCAGAAACGCAGCCTCTCTTTCTGAACAGAGCATAAAACACTGGCTGGTTCCTGTGTTGAAGCGTCAGGTGGATAATGTGCTGTCTGAGTGTGTGTATTTATGTATACGGGCTGCAGACGGGATGTTTGAGACCGGGCTGAAAGCCCTGTTTTGACTGACCTAAATATGGAGCAGTGGACATGATTGGAGGTCATCTTTGTGTTTAGCCCTGAGTGAGGAGCTTTATTGGGAATGGGAGTAAAATCTGATCAATCACTTATATGAGCGCTTAACGTGGCAGCTAGACGGGGATAAAACAACGACGCAGCACGTAGGCTTCAGAATGAAATGAGATGGAGACATTAAAGCGAGTGAACATAATTACACATCCATTTCTAGCCTTAAGGTTGTGCTCCCTGCTTGACGAAGGCTAGCATGACGCCGGCTGCTGTAGAAAGAGGTGGGACAGCAGAAACTGCCAGTGTTGATTTACTTTCTGCTCCACGGCGGGGAGTTTATGGATTTGTGTGTGGGCACGGCGAGGGAGGCGACTATTGTGGTGCAGTGATCTCACTCATAAATGATTTATGTTTGATGGACTGCTGTGGCCACGAGGCAGGCAGAGCGGAGTGCTTGGCTTGATAAATAATAGTAGTACATTCTTTCAAACGTGTGGCTGTGTAGTGCTGAGAGATGGGTGACACCGTCACGGGCTCCCGGGGGGTAAGAAGGAGATGGTGGAGCGGGGGTGGGGTGGGGATAGATGAGCTGTCAGACAAAAGTGGCCACGCAGCATAACTGCCTTACTAGCACTCTCACTCACACACACTTGTGTGTTGACTGAAATTAGAAAGAAGATCATAGGATTCCTTTCCTTCGCCATTTCGCCACAAGGGAATTAAAGCCGTGTGACTCACAGGTTCAGCAGGGACATTTCGTTTCTGCTTTAAGGACTGACATGTAACTGCAGCACTAAAGATGCTGAGAACGTATCTAAAACAGAAAACTCTCAGGAAATTAAAGGCTGAGAATTTCTCGACATGTTGGCCGCCACGTTTTGTGCCAGAGTTTTAAAATACAGTGAAGTGCCAAAGTTTGGGCAGCCTTGTTAATTTTCCTGATTTACCTTTATAAATCATTAATATTTTGGATTTAAAATATCAGTTAAATATATCATATAGGGGACAAACACAGTGATATTTGAGAAGTGAAATGAAGTTTTTATGATTTACAGAAAGTGTGCACAGTGGGCACCAAAAAAAAAAAAGACATAACTCAATCCTCCTTTCACAGAAATAACATTCTCTAAACACTTCCTATAGCTTCTAATGAGAGTCTGGATTGTGGCTGAAGGTCTTTTAGACCATTCTCCTTTACAAAACATCTCTAGTTCATTCAGATTTTATGGTTTTGAGCATGAACAGCTCTCTTTAAGTGACACCACATATTTTCAATAATATTCAGGTCTGGGGACTGAGATGACCATTCCAGAACGTTGTACTTGTTCCTCTGCATGAATGCCTTAGTAGATTTTGAGCAGTGTTTAGGGTGGTTGTCTTGTTGGAAGATGCGGCCCCGGCTTCAGCAGCTTCAGCTTTGTCACTGATTCCTGGACATTGGTCTCCAGAATCTGCTGATTTTGATTGGAATCCATGTGTCCCTCAACTTTAACAAGATTCCCAGTCCCTGTACTGGCCACACAGCCCCACAGCATGATGGAACCACCACCAAATTTCACTGTAGGTAGCAGGTGTTTTTCTTGGAGTGCTGTGTTCTTTTTCCTCCATGCATAACGGACCTTGTTCTGCCCAAATAACTCTATTTTAGTTTCATCAGTCCACAGCACGTTATTCCAAAATGAAGCTGGCTTGTCCAAATGTGCTTTAGCAWACCTCAAGCAGCTCTGTTTGTRATGTGGGCKGAGAAAAGGCTTCCTCTGCATCACTCTCCCATACAGCATCTCCTTGTGTAAAGTGTGCTGAATAGTTGAATGATGCACAGTGACTCCATCAGCAGCAAGATGATGTTGTAGGTCTTTGGTTCTGGTCTGTGGGTTGACTCTGACTGTTCTCAACATCCTTCACTTCTGTTTATTGGAGATTTGTCTTGGTCTGCCACTTCCAGCCTTGACTTAAACTGTGCCTGTGGTCTTCCATTTTCTCACAGTTTCTCACAGTGGAGACTGAAAGCTGAAATCTCTGAGATAGTTTTCTGTATCCTTCCTCTAAACCATGACGGTGAACAATCTTTGTTTTCAGCTCATTTGAAAGTTGTTTTGAGACTCCCATGATGTGACTCTTCAGAGAAGATGCAAAAAGAAGAAAAACTAACTATTGCCCCCTTAAATACCCTTTCTCATAATTGGAGTCACCTGTACATAGAGGTCAGGGGTCACTGAACTTACCAAACCAAATTTGAGTTCCAATAATTAGTTCTAAACGTTTTGAAATCAATAAAATGACAACAGTGCCCAAATTTATGCACCTGCCTAATTTTGTTTAACCAATTATTGCACACTTTTTATAAATCATATCAACTTCATTTCACTTCTCAAATATCACAGTTTGTTCTCAATGTGATATATTTAACTGATTTTTTTATCCAAACAATCAATGATTTATAAAGGTAAATCAGGAAAATTAACAAGGCTGCACAAACTTTTGCACCTCACTTTAAAACCATCCCATGCTGGGAAATTGCATTTCGACCAAACCTGGAAAATGTTTTATATAATGCAGGATCTTGTAAGATGTGTTAACCCTCCGAGTATCTGTTTAGGATAACTCTCAGCTACCAAAATTTAGCTCAATATTTGTAAATTTGACCGGGTCACGTTTGATAAGATCACCTAGCTGTAGCGACCATCTTGAATGGGATCAACTCTAAATCAGCTGTAGAGGAACGTCCAATTATTTTCAGAGTTTCACAAAAGTTTGTCCAGTGGTGAGAGACTTTGATGGTGTTATGGACAAATAAAACACACACACACACGCACACACAATCAAAACTATTATCACCTGCAGCAGGCAATACAAATGGCAGTTAAATAGTAAAAGCAACCACAAAGGTAGGCGCTTGAGTTTCAAATAAAACGGTGTGTTTTTTTTTATCTGGAGCAAAGTTATCAAACCAAAGATGTGTAGAAGATCTGAAAGGTGAGTTTCAGCTCAACCGTTTCCTCTGCGACTCCCACGCCCACCCTCTGACTCACACCAACTTAGATTTAGACATGAAAAGATTATTACAAGAGCAAATGTGTTTTGAAAGAAACAGAAAAGAAAAACAAAAGTGTCATGTGGATAAACTGCCATTCGTTGACACCAAATAACAGCACAAAAATCCCATGACGTCTTCAAACCCCCTCGCATGAGGCTTAGCTGAGGCAAGCAGACACTGAAGCACTTTCCTTCAAATCACTGACGCTACAGTTACTTTATACCGGGAACAACACACTGCACGCTCAGGTTGCAAAACAACATTCTGCTTTCTTTGACAAATTTCTTTCTGATAATCTTCTTTAAAAAAATAAATAATAAAATCCTTTCAATACTTCAAACTCAGCTAGCATGAGACTCAGGTGTGCATTTCTGTACACAACAGCACAACAAACAAGCATGTGAGCAATGTTGCAACACTTTACAAAACAGCAGGTGCTGTGGGGGGGGGCTTCTGGATTGTACCGGTTTTATGGTTTTGTATATCGAATAACAATGGTTTTCATGTGGGCTGAGACGGAGCAAAGATTCATGGGTAGGGGACAAAAATCACATCCCAAATATCAGGAGATCTTTATAGGTATTTAAAGATGATCAATTTAACAATGTGAAATCATTTTTTTTGTTTGATGTGTTCAAAACAAACCACATCATCATTAATCTTTTCTACTAGATCTCTACAGCGTAACTTTTCCACATGATCTGTTTGTGGCCTGGATAGAGGATAAAACCACAAAATGAACGGGTTGTCTCTTTCCTGTTACGGTTTTTGCATCACACTTTGTGCCGAGAAACTCTTGCAAGACGTTGCCTTGACTTGACGGTGAAAAAAAAAATTAAACTGATGGGAAAGTAGAAAAAAAATATGATGAAGCAAACAGAAATGCTAGATTGGCTGGCGGTTTAAAACCCCTGCCGAATGCGAGGGATTCCCCCGCAGAGGCTTAGAACAGCATCTGGGTCGCGCGGAGCCCAGCAGTAGTGTAACCTCAGCCGCTCTGCACGGAGACCTCACACAGTTCTTCCACTGCGGGGCGGCAGGAAGCTCAGAGGTTATCTCGATGAGTCAGACTTCTACATACATGTCTCTCGCCCACTCCCAGGCAGACAGATGACACGCAGCTGTGGGCTGGGCATAACCAGCGGCCATCTTAACTTGAGCAACGCAAGATGATTTATAAATAAACAGACAAAGAAGAAGGCGGAATGAAAAAAGTCAGGGGGGAGCTACAGTCCCCCCACCCCCCAATAGGGCCGACAGGCAACAGTGAGGTTTATATAAGCTGTGCAGCTTCATCATCATCATCATCATCATCATACCACATAGTCGCACTAACTGCCTTCAGTGGTAAGCTTATTTGTTATAACTTCCTGCTGCTGTCACAGCAACAACTCCTAAACGAACATGGACACCCAGGCTACAAATTTTGGGGCATTTTTAAATTAATGAAACCGTCCACGGGAATTAATAGAATTTATAGGACCAAGCAGGAATAAACCTGGAATTTAAAATAAGGAAAAATCGGCCTTTAACAGGGATTTTACATATAGATGTGGAAAACATTTTTTTTAGCATAATCTTAACTAATGCTGCCAAATTGCATTTTTGTATCATGCGAGAAGCGGTACACTACCACCTGATTTTATTTTATTTTCTACATTGCAAATTAATATTGAATTAATCCAGACTGTAAAGGAACACTAAATACATTACAAAAGTATTTCAAAATTTGAGTTGGGCCATGTGTGAAGATCACATTAAAAAGCAACAATAACCGCTGACAGTCAAAGCAATAAAAGCAAAGACAGTAACTATTGGCAACCTCTTTATTCTGACCTCATTAAGCTGAATGAGAGAATACAAAAAGTGTGCACAACTGTAATCAAAGCGAAGGGAGCCCACATCGAAGAATCTGAAGTCTACAACGTACTTTGGTTTGTTTAACACTTTTAAGTTTTTGACACGAACACACAAAGGATCGTGTCAAAAACTTAAACGTGTTCAACAAACAAACTGAGTCTGGGAGACGTCGGTATTAATTTACAGTGTAGGAACAAAAGGAAAACCAAATAAAAGTCTTGAATGAGAAGGTGTGTCCAAACTTTTGAGTTTAGTGTATCACACCTTCTAACAAAATAAACTACAACCTGGACATGCTGGGACAGATAAACATAATAACATAGCCGATGGCCCTGTCACACTATAATGTTTTAAACAACTTATGCTGACTTATGAAAACTTTCTTATAACTCTTTTACTCATATCAGCTAAATAAGTTATCTAATTGTTAGCATTATAGTATGTACAGGTCCAAAGGAGGCTTCCAGTAGATTGTGTTTTAAATTCCATCTTCAGCTCAGACATCTTTAGTGTTGGACAAACAATAAGTTGTCTAAAATGTTATAGTGTGACAGGGCCAGTTTTGTTCTGAAATACAATTTTTTGTTTTCTGTAAACATTGCATCATTTGGATATCCATTAATATCAAGAGGTGTTGATGGTGGAGAGTGCATTAACTAATGCCAAAACTGCATTCTGTCCAGTTTCAGTCTCTCATAAAAAAAAACCTCTTTCTACCCTGGTATTATTAATGGTTCAATAATAATGACTGAGTTGAGCTGTTGTAAATATTGTAGCAAGTAATTATTCAGTCAGCGTTTGAAATCAAGAGATTTCTTGCACCAAACACCTGATAGTCTAAAAAAAAGCCATAATTTTACACCCTGACCTCTGTTTCCAGATCTGCGATGCCCTGTGAGGCTGCAATAAAACGAGCTCCTAAAGTTCTGCATACAGCGACTAACAACAGCAGCTCCCACCCCTCAAAATGTTCCAATAGGGTACAAGCAGTTTCTTTTCTTAGAAATGTGACATTTACAGTGATTACAGACGTGTCTGGGTAATGATTTATATTTAACTACAATAAACGTCAACGACTGTGCCCACAAATTGCTGAAAAATCAGCGGCTGAGCAACAGAATGCTTTCTAGCCTCCCGAGTCAGTTTGAATGACAGAATAAAGGGTTATCGTTAGTGGGTGAGCGTGTACAGACACACCTCCAGGGCAGTGGAAGAGTGACTGACAGGTTGACAAGCTGGACCCTTGAGAGGTGGATTCATCTGAAGTGAAAGACTGGGTGACACAGATTTGCAGCAGTGTTTTTGTTTTCAAAAGACAAACGATGCTGAATACTGATGCGCAACATGGGACAAGTGTTTTGTCTGTAGGATGGCATCGTGTAAATGTGGTAGTTCATGGATGTTTGTCATACACACAAAAACAAAATGAGCACAAACTGGCATTGAGACTTTATGACACCATTCTATTTGAAAATACAGATTTAAAAGGGTGCAGATGAACACAGCAACCAAAAACGTGGGTGACATGAGTCAAAGTGTCAGCTTGAGGAGCCCAGGGCAAAGAGCCAGTGTGTGTGTGTGTGTGTGTGTGTGTGTGTGTGTGTGTGTGNGTGTGTGTGTGTGTGTGTGTGTGTGTGTGTGTGTGTGTGTGCAGAGAAGGACATGATTACACAACCACAGCCTCTCAGGCTGGCAGAAGTCACAGCATGAGGTAGATAAACTGTAAGGACAGACGCTCCCTCGTTATTTTTTATATTTGAATTTTCAAACAGTAAAATAAAAAAGGCCAACAGTAATTTAGTACCCAAGTTGCAGCTTTGACGTTTTTCCAGTGAGTTTTGATGAGCTGTGTATCTGAACGTGAACACTAGAGGTCAGGATAAAATCAATGTTAGGAAGAAACACAGGAAAGGTCGACAAAGAAACAAAGAAATAAAAGATTAAAACTCAAAATAACCAAGTAAATTATGAATACATGTATGACCTTTTTCTGATAGACACTTCAAAGGAGTTTCTGTCAAGAAAGAGTAATTAAAACTTGATCTTTAAACTGATTGGTAATGACATTTTATTGTGCAGTCGGCTGCCGTTAACATTCCATGCTTCTCTCGTGTCTGATTCATTTTTACACGTGACTCCTGAGAAACCTGAACAGGTGGTTTAATCTTTAGCCGACTGAGACTTGTTTTCCAAGTCATTAGTTGTGGTTTTGAGATCAAACCATTAGATGGCTTTATTAATTAAATTCTAGGGAAATGTAGGCCAAAACTATCAAACAACTTTCCTTTAGCTTATTTGGTTCTTTCAAGTTTGAAAGCATATATTTTAAATCGGTGCTGTTACCTGATGAGTGTTGTGATCTTGGTGTGAAATTTAATAAATATACTGTATTTTTCTTAGCAAACCCAAGCACAACAGTCCTTTCAGGCAGAATAAAATCAGTCTTCCTACACCCAACTTACACAACTAACTTATGTTCCAAGAAAAACAAGCGTCATTTTTTTCCACAACATAAGCTTAAGGGCTGACAACACGGCATTATAGGATGTATGTTTTGTGTTTTTTTTCTTATGCTCAGCTGAAAAGGACGCCTCACAGAGTTTGCTCAACAACGACTCTGCTCACCACTTGAAGCGAAGGGACAGGCAGCGCTTTTTTGAAGACGTCTACCAGCAGGATGTGGACAACTACCTGCCCTCTGTGCACCTGCAGATTGACTGCAGGAAACGTGAGCTGATGTCTGTTTTTCAGTTGTACACCAATGTTTACATTTCTTGTTTTTTTATATATAAATTTAGACAAAATATTTCTTTAAACAACTCTGGTTTAGATAAAGTTGATTTCATATTGCAAGTCTACATTTAACAACAGGTTGCAGAGTGGATGACTGATGCTGTAGCCTTACAGCAACACGGCCTTATGTTTAAAACTCAGCTGTTCTGTGTGGAGGTTACATGTTCTCTCCATGCATAAGTGGGTTTTCTCTGAGTAGTCTGATTCATTCGAGCTAACTAAAAAAAGCTCCTTGAACTGTGGGAGGAAATCAAAGTTTGAACATCTAACCAGAGCATGAAAAATCAATACATATAAAGTCATATGCTTTTTGCTGTCTTTAACAAAATATTTAATTCTGACCATCATTCGTATCATACAAGGAGGTATGAATTACTGTACAGAACCCCTTCTGTAGTTACTGGATTTTCTGCTGTGAATCAGGGTGACGAGCTGTGAAAAAGTTGGAATCAACTTGGTCAACTTTATCTGTATTTAAAAATAAGTTGAAAGAAAGCCTCTAATTTTCTTTGTTTCTTTGACTGTGTGCAGTTAATGTTTAAATGTTCAAATGATTTATTTTAAGTTAAATATTTTATGTCATCCCTTAGCAAAAAGTTGTATATTTAAAGTTCATTTTAATAAGTATACTTGAGTAAAGTTTATCAAGTATACTAGGCACCATGTACTTATCGTTTACTAGTAGAAAGTTTACTGATTTAATATTTGTTCTTACTAAATTGGGACTTTTGTTTATAAAAAGAATACTTTAAGTATACTGTTATGTCTTTTTAAGTTTATAAACTTACCAAAAAGAAGTACACTTTAAGTACATGTCATTAAGTATGCTAACGTATATAAAAGTGTATTTCCCAAAGTGTACTTTTATTGACCATGTACACTGATATACATGTACTAGCAGTTTACTAAGAAGTTCGAGGACTAAATTGGCCCACAATTAGTTTATGAAAGTATACTCAGAAGTATAGTGAAAGTAATCTTCTAAGTATACTTTTAGTTTAATCTTGAAATATACTACAAAGAAACCAGTCTGTGTGAAAAATGTACTTTCAGTGTACTACTAAAGTTTATTTTGGCCAAAAGTTTAGACATCATTATAGACTAAGTATGCTTAAACTTTTAGTATAATTTTAGTACAAGCCAAGTATAGTGTAAGATAAACTTGGCTAAGTATTTCTCAGATAAGTAAATGGAACGTAAACTGGAAGTATACTCTTTTATTTTTAGTTTAAAATTAGTATACTTAATGGATACTTGCATATACTTCTTTTTGATAAGGGATTTTATGAGGGGACCTGCTTTATAAGCCCATTTAGATTTTTATGACCTCTCCGACACATTTTTTTTATCTTCTTGTTTCCTTGTTTGTTTGGTTTTTTCCAAAAAAGTGCAAGCACACTGTACAAAACCTCAGATACATTGCATTTAATGTAAAAACTAGCAGTTTGTTTTAATGCTGTGTACATTTGTTGTACGTGTGGTTTTGTTGCAGCTCCGATGGGCAGCATTTCATCCATGGAGGTGAACGTGGACACTCTGGAACAGATGGATCTGATGGACATGTCGGATCAGGAGGCCCTGGACGTGTTCCTCAACTCGGGCTCAGGAGAAGATGAGGCACCTGTGGCTTCTCCACTACGAGGTATACCATCTAAAATGATGGTTATTGTTTGTGACTAGTTTAATTTGACAAAATATCTATATACCCTAATCATAAATCCAGTATCAGTAATATTTTATTTTTATGCAGTAAATTTTCTCCTGGCCTGGAGGTTTTTCCAGGATCTTTGTTAGAAGGTTTCAAGATTAACGTGCAACTGTTTTTTTGAATCAAAAGATATAAACGGAGGTGGTGTTCTTTTAGTTTTAGAAGCACCAAAGTATTTCTGTCTTTCTTTATGGTCAAACTGACTAAACATGCATATCTTCTCAAACCAAAGGTGATACGAATGGTACCAGTGTGTTCTAACAGTTTCTAATTACAGATGATGAGGATGAGGAGGATGAGGATGAGGAGGATGAAGATGCGGAAGTAGTTTACAGGGAACGCGCACCTCTTCGACGCCAAAGCGAAGTCCATCGTGGGTCTCAGTCTCGCATTTCTTCGACATCATCTGGTTCCAGCGTCACCAGCACGGGAGGAGCGGACACCCCTGTGATCCAGTCGGACGACGAAGACGTGCAAGCCGACACCCTCCTGCTGACCTCCGTTCCCCATGCGAGAGACGAAGACACAGAGGAGGACGATGAAGACGAGAGATGCTTCACAATCAATCATTAGAAAGAGTTTCCCCTGAAGTCTGAAATCTCGTTCTCTCCCTCTGTATTTGTATCCCTTTCTTATGGGCCAGAAAACTATACGACAAGGTTGGGCCCGCTGTAATCTGAGTGTCCTTCGAACCGTGATTTCACTTTTATGATTTTTCTCACATTCTCTTTCGTTTTTACAAGTTCTGTGGCACATACAATGAATAGTTTCTTGGCTGTTGTTGAAAGACAGTAGCACCATTTATGAGTCATTCTTTCCTCCTGCACCAACATGTTCTGCTTGACTTCAGTGTTATTCCTCAAACTGCCAGAGGGAAATGTCCTTCATGCTTATTTTTTTAAACAGTATCTCAACAACTAGGTCAAGAAATATTGAACGTAGTTCTATTTTCGAATGACAACATTCTCACAATAACAATAATGGAAAAAGAAAACAGAAGTTGTAAAAAAATGTAGGTTGTTTCAGAAAGACTTAGGACTCTGTCAGTTAGAAATAAACGTAACATATACATATTCAAATTCTAAAAGTTTAGAATTTGAAAATGTCACATTGGATCACATCAATCCATCTATTTTTGTTTACTTTATCAAGGTCAGATTAAGAAACAAACAAGTCTTAAAGGGGAAACTCAGATGTCTCTGCTCAGTGACAAGTAGTTTCTCCTGAGGGATCATTCCCTGGTCAGAAGAAACGTACGATCTCTCCAGCTAGATCTAAGTCTGGACTGGGTTTCTCTCCCAGTAGAACCATGCCTGTCAAACCTCAAAACCTCATATTACATGCCTGAACCACCTCAGCTGACTTTTTTGTTATGCAAAGAAGCAGAAGAAGCAATATTGAGTCAAAATATCCAAGCTCCTCTAAAGAAAACTAGTCGGAGCTGCTTTTACCTGTAGGTCAGATGATACATCTAAAAAACCAACCATATTGAATACATTTATGGACCAATCTTCTCAGAGTTAAACATTTATTATGGACAACCCATAAATGCACACAAGTCCAAAAAGAAAAAAGAAGAAAATAAAACCAATCAAAATCTGATGAAGCAGGTCAATCACATTTCTCCAAATGACCGTGTGGGTTCTGGATTAATAACACAAAACAGGAAATACTATCTAATTAAAGACTACAAAAAATACATTGTAACAACTGTAATCACCAAGCAGCCTAATTTATTTCAAGACTAAGTCCGTTGCAAATTTTTGAGTGAAATATTGATTAAAGCCTCGGAACTCTAAAGTAGCTGAAAATCCAAATCAAGCAATAACTATTCCAAATGTTTGTACTAATTTACTTTCAAATAAAATCTTTTTGAACAGTTTGGAGACATACAATTACTTATCCTATTTCTTCTATGCTTTAAAAAGTGTACAAGCTTTAGAAAATACTTCATTTTTTCCCTTTTACCATTATTTGTTTTTTTATGCTAGCAAATAACCTATCACAGAAGTTGCCAAATATGTGAGTTTCTTCTTTGGTTCAAAACGTAATGAATTATTTAATCAAATGTTCTGAGTTTTTTTGTCTGCAGTGTAAATATGTATTTTAAGTTAAACAAAAGAAATCCCCTCAAAACTGTCAGCTCTTAGCTTGAGGGGTGGTTTGACTAGACAGAGTTCAAAGCGCAAAACAAAAATGCAGTTCAGGTTAAGATGCTGTTAAAAATAACTGCTGGTGTAAAAAATGACTAGAACCTTCAAAGCTTGGACTTCTTTGACCCTTTTTCTGAACATTTCCTGTGTGCATGCAGAAACTACGGGATTTTCAGTGTGAAGAATGGAGCTGTATTTGCAAATGCATGCCATTGTGTATTTGATACTGTTTACTTCCTGTCTTCTCAATACTTTAAACAATGTAGCATTTCTGTACAAGTGACACCTGTACGACACCTGCCCTTGTTCTCTTTGTGAGCTGAATGTTGACAAGTGTATATTCTGACCACACGGAGAAAGAAAGACCCATCTGAGCAGAGCTTCAGGATTTTCAGTGTGTCTAACTGTATGAAGCTGAGAGTGAATCCACAACACCAGAGCCAGGTTGTTCCTAACCTACACTTGTATCACAGTATTAACCAACCTTATTTTTACTTGGCCACACAAATGACAAAATAAAGCAGAGGGCAAACCCATTGGATGTACAGATCCTTGAGTTGCCTGTTTTCCCACACTTTCAGCCTCCAGTATCTGTTTCCAGCGGCAGGCTGTTTGCTCCTGTAAAGTCTTTAAAACTGTCATTGAGAATCTTGTTTTTTTATATGTCATTTGTCAGGAGTTGCTGCTAGAGCCTGACATGCAGCCACTTGTAACAACATTTGAATATTAACTCAAATATTGTGCCAGCAGACACTGACTTCGGTTGTGCTGTGGTCTGAGGTTTTCCAGTTCAACTGGTTTCACAAGTTTGGCTCTGAAATGCCTTTCTGGGTTTTCCTAAATGCCACTGGAGGTCTGCGGCTTGTTCGTTCGCCGACTGTCTTAAAAAGAGTAATGCTGCGGCACACACTTACAGTCCACATTAGTCCGCACATCATTACATAGTCCTCGATGTGGACTTCTGACGAAGTAATTCATTTATTTTTTATTTTGTCTTTAACGTCCTGAGAAGTCCAACCATCCCATGGCATTTCAAAAGTATTTGTAACAACATGACCCAAGTTATCCATCTTTATTTTGCTTTTACAAATCCTAAAAACAGAAACAAAAACCTTTATTTTATATTTCACTTTTCATTTTGTTTCAAATCCTTAATGGATCTATTTTCCCTAATCAATCTTAAGACTATTCTCTAAAATACAAAACAAACCACAACCCTGCTTTACACAATGCTTTGCTGTTTTCTTTAAAACAAAAGAACTATCAATGCCAGTGTAATCCCAGATAATTAATGCTTTTTTATTCAGCCTTTGCCTCCTATTCAGTGGCTGCTTTTAGTAAAGGCACATTAAGGTTCTCAGTCATTGACCTAAAAACAGCACATTTACAATATATAAAATATTGAAACAAAATTGTTTGCAAATTTAAAAACTGGAGATAGTGACGAGGCTTTGACAGCAGAAGGTGAAGAAAAACTCTTTCTGAAAAGTTAAATGAAGGGGCTGCCACGCACACTGACCAACAGACATGAAGTGGAAATACTGACTAAACCAACCCATTCTCACTCCATAAGACAAAAGATGTCAAGAGAAAGACAATGTAAAAACACAAAGCCAAGAATCGGATGAGGAACAACAGACAACCTGGATGGTATAAGTAACAAAGACTTGGCACAAGGGAGAGCAGAAAGATCCACAGAAAACAAAACAGGAAGTACTGTAAATGAAACAAAAGAGATTAATACAAAATCATATTGATTTTAATCAAACCCACAAAGAACCGTTCCTGCTAATTTGTAATCTCCAACCAACAAGACAAAACCTGTCGAAAAACAATAGTTAATCCAAATACGACAGTCGATTTCATTTATGTAAATGCTGTTTAATACCCATAAGGTAAAAGGAGTTTATTTGGAGTCAAACACGTCCAGATTTTTCACATCAGTTCGTGAGAAACAAAATAACTGAGCTTGCCTGAGGCTAAATTAAAGGGAGGTGCACTTTAAGTTCACTTACTCGCCAAGAGATTTCTTTCAGTGTCTTTATGACAACTTGTGTTGATATGAAAAAAAAAAGATTCACTCATGTCAGTAAAGAACCGACAAGCAGAGCAAACAAGTTTTTCCTCTCCATTTGCTTAAGATACTAAAGCTCGAAAATAAGATTTAAACTTTTTTAATAGAATAGAATAGAATAGAATAGAATAGAATAGAATAGAATAGAATAGAATAGAATAGAATAGAATAGAATAGAATAGAATAGAATAGAATAGAATAGCCTTTATTGTCCCGCAGCAGGGAAATGCAGGTGTCACAGCAGCATCAGTACAAAGGTTCACACACTAGTTACTTTACAAACTATAGATAGTACACACAAAACAAAATTAACACTTACTAGCCATGATACAACTATTAATAATAAAATAAAAATATATTATGAAGAATTGTGCAAGAATAGAAAAACGATGTTTTGTTTCAGAATCCAACATTCGGAATCAGAAGTTTCCTGTTTTGAGTACAAAAACAGACCAATAACTGTAAAGTGAAGTATCACAATACAGACAAAAACCACAGATGTGCAATTATAGCAGAGTATAGTGCAAATGATTGTTTGATTGAGTAATTACAATGAATAATAACAGTCTAAAATTTAGACTGTAAACGATGTTGCAGCAGCAGGTGTGTTTAAACACTTATTGAGATTTTTGCTAACACGATTTTTGGACGTGGTGCTGGTTATAGAGTCTGACAGCTGCTGGGAGGAAGGATCTGTGATAATGCTCTTTTGTGCTCTTTTTTTCTGTAGAAACAGAAATTTCTATTGTTTCTAAAGGTGACATTCACAGGATCACCTGTTTTAATGGTCATACATAGTAAGTTTGTTAATGTTTAAATGTAAATAGTAAAATGAAAATCCATCCATCATTTATACCCGCTTCTTCCTTTCAGGGTCACTGGTGCCCATATCCAGCAGCCACAGTGCGAGGGGCGGGGTTACACCCTGGACATGTCACAAGTGTTGACTTGCGACCTGTCCAGAAATGAAAAGTATTGTGTAAATATTTATATCTTTAAGTATGCTAAGATTCTGAAGTCACACCCGGGAAACTTTGAGACATACCAAAGATCATGATAGTAAATATCAGCAAGAACGAAAAACACTCTCAGAAGAAAATACACCTGTCCTATGTGAGGACTGAAAAGAAAATCTACTTATGCTTCATGAATATTTCTTTTGCAGGCCTTATTTTCTTTGTCCCTGAACAAACTTGGGAACATCTCAGCCAATCAGTATGCCCACAGCTTCTGGACTTGTGTGAAGAATGCAATACATGGGTGTTTCCGGGGCACCTGCAGGATTTTATTGGAAAACCATCACCGCACCTGACCCACACAAATACAGGGCACATGCGCGCAATGCACATGACACACAAAAACAGTAACGTGGCACCGTGCACCTTATCTTGTCCTTCACAAGGCCCAACACACACAGTTGGACACACACACACACACACACACACACACACACACACACACACACAC